TCCCCCTCTCCTCCCTCCCTCCCTCCCTGACTGTCTGTCTGTCTCTCTGTCCATCTGTCCATCCCTGCCTCCACCTCTGCTACCCGTTTGTCCTCAGACTAGAGCCGGACATTTTACTCAGAGCCAAACAGGACTTCCTGAAAATTGACAGTGCTGCTGACTTACAGTGAGTGTCCGGCTTTACCTCTCTTTGCCACTGCCCCGGGGTAGGCAACACCCCGGGAGCTGGGTCCTCATCCAGCCCCAAAACCCAGCCCTGGCTGGGCAGGGAGAGGACTTTGCTTCCTTCCCTCTTTCTGGTGGGATCTGCCTGGGTGGGAAGGGAGGTGTCTAAGTTTATGAAGAGAACCCAGAGAGCTCCACAATACCTCTTCAGCTGGTGCCCAAGGGGTTAATCCAGGTCCTTTTTGACCTCCACCTGTCCCCTTCCTAAGTGTGTGTATTGAGGACAGGTAGTTGGGGTAGGGGAAAGGGACGGAGCTGAGCAGCTTAGTATGACCCCCCACCCCATGAGGGAAGGGTCCTGAGCTCATTTCCTTGGCCAAGCCAGCAGCCCCTGTGAAGCCGGGCAGGTAGGGATCTCCCTTCAGGGGTGGGGAGAAGGTAGAAACCAGCTGCTTCTTCTGCTACAAGCCAGTGTGTATGGGCACGTGGTTGGGTCTTGGGCACTCTGAGCTTGGCCGCCTCAAGAATGCAAGAGCCTGGGCACCAGCCCTATTGGGTGCTGTCCATCGCCACCTTGCTCTCAGCCTCCTCTCCCTCCTGTTTTTTGCTTCTGGCCGTTGCGGCTGGTGCTGGCTCTGCCATTTGTCTCTGGAGTTTTTCTGTCCTTCATTGCTTACGTGTTGCTTTGCTGAGCCACATGGGGCAGGGGGTCCTTCTAGCAGGACAGTTCCCAGGGACCAGCTGCCCGGGAGTGCAGCTGGGTTTGTCTGTTCAGGGAGCTGGTCCCTGTAGTGTGTCATCTTCTGATGGTAGGAAGTGCCAGGCATGTGGGGATAGACTCCTCTCTTTCAGCTTCCCCAGGGCAGGGCTAAGCTGTTAATCCAGGGACTAAATAG